AGCAAACGCGCGCCCAAACTGCGGTGTGGTGTGGCGTGGTGAGGCGCGAACCAAACCCGCCAGCATCGACTTGAAACATGCTCTAGGGTTGAGAGAGTCGCGAGAATGCAGCGACAATGGCAACGCCGGACGGCAAGGACGACTAAGCGGTGGCAAGCGGGGTGGCTTTGGGAACAGACGGAGCTTCCCCTGCCTCCTTTGCGTATTCCCGACTCCTGGTTCCATGCTAGCTGGTGCACTTCCATTGCTTGGCTTTTATATATTGTTTTGATCTGATGTCCGAACCCGGCATGGTATACTAGTGTTCACGCGCGCACCACCAATATTGTTACCGCGCCAAAGGAATAGGTGGGAGAATGGTGCACACATCTTTCAATGATAGGCGATGTGCCATCGTACCCGACTGTCGACAACAAGACACTATGGTGACTTCATCATCTTAAGATATGTCGGCTTATCAATCTCTCAGAGATTCTTATATGTGGTAGGATGTATGTAGTGCATATAGCGGTGAGTGTGCATGTGTATGTATCATGTATGTGAACATCTACATTTGCATGGTCTCACTTCCTAACATAGGTAATCAGCCCAGCGTGAGAGCCCACCGCTGCAAAGCAATCTTGTAGGAATGTCCCTGGGTTATTTAGGGTGTGTTTGGTTGAGCTGTGGCTGTAGAAAAAAGTTGTTGTGGGCTATGAGCTGTGAAAAAGCTGCTGTGGGATGTGAGCTGTAAAAAAGCTGAAAGCTGTTTGGTTAAACAAGTATAAAATATACCTTTTATCTTTATCTCTCTTGAAATAATTATGAAAGAGCTTTTTATTCCACCAATTTCGAAAAGCAGAAAGCCAAAAGCCAAAAGCAGGATCAAATCAGCTTTCAAAAATATACTACGGAAAACAACAATTTCTGAAAAAAGCTACCTCCAAAAGCAGCCTCTTTGATTGGGCTTTTAGCTAAACGGACCCTTAGGCTTATTAGATACTTTGTTTAAGGGATAAGGTAACAGGTTTTATAATTGAGGGGTTATGCGGTCAACATTTAATACGTTAGAGGTTATGTACACTTTCTTATTTTTTTTCCAAGACCCGCATAATATGCCATGTTAGCACAATCATCTTCAAAACAATTAGTGGATTGTTTAGACGATTTTTAATGCTTTAAGGTAAAATAACAAGTTTTCTAGCCGAGGGATCGGACTGTATTATACAAACACTAATGGATGTGGCTCAAGTAGACTTTTTCGAATCACAAGCAGGTAGATTCTTTTTTACCCCTCGTCCTCATCACTCTCCTCCGCCTCCTCCCTTTTCTCTCCATGCCCCACCTGATCTCGTGAGGAGTTCACGATCATTTGCTCCACCTCATGAACAACATAGATGACATCGGGCTCATGCAATGTTTCCGCTCCTAGGCCCATGCCATCATCCCCTTCGTCCACGCATCCCCTTCCCTTCCTCTGCTTTTATTCTCCCAGAATCACATGGCTACCTCAACGGTGGGCTCTCTTTCCATGTCATCCTGCATACAAGGGATGTACTCGGAAAAATATTGATCGGAGATTGACTCTCAAGTTAAATAGGTGGATATCCATATGTTTGTGTGATAAGTTACAACACACATAGATTCAGGCTCGACCGTCTAGGCTTAAGACATGAGTGGTCTAATGTTAATTAATAAGATTTTGCAACTCTAAACTAAGTTAGAGATGAAGGACCAATGATAATAAGATTTTGCATCTCTAAAATAAGTGAGAGATGACGGACCAATGGACTTAGTTAAGAACAAAGAAGTTAATCGGAGGTGGACAAAAAAGACTGAAATCTTGGCTCTTTAATATTAGTATAGATTAGTAATATAAAGAGCTCTCTCTTTTATTAAAAAAAATGTCATGCTAAAAGGTTGTCACGACAAATTAACGTATAAAATTATATTAAAACTGTATTGAAATATTTAAGATAAAAGTTTACAGTAATAAATTTACAGTAAAATATTATACGTAAAAATTATGAGTATAACTTTATAGTTTTCTACTAATAACAAATATAGAAACAAAGTTTTCGGAAAAAGGAAAGTTGCCTAGGTAGTCAGTTCGTTCGCTGGATATTTTTGTCCTGTGAGCATTCGCCGATTAATAAGACCGCCAGAAAGAAATTTATTATTCTTCCTATACTTTAGCAAGTCAACTCGCATCTGATTGGCAGCAAAGCAAGTTGAATTAAATTTCATACTTGAAGCGGCACATAAAAACTCCATCGGCCGGGCAATTTGCACTTCTTTTTTCGCTCGGAAAAAAATTAATGTTAAGGGCACTTTGGACATGCACATGTTAACTTGAACACGTAACAAAGTCCACGATGATCAGGAATCAAGCAACGTATGACACACATGATGTGGTGCCACTTTAGTAATATCGATCTCATTTGTTTACTAATTAAGTACGTAGTTTTTTTTTCAATCTAGAGAGAAGGAGGCATCTCCAGATCGACATGCAGGTAGGGTATTAGTGACTTAGTGGAAGTTGATTACATTATTAGTTATAAGAGTGTAGCTAGGGTACTAATTAGTGACTTACTGGAAGTTGACTATTATAGTTTATAAGAGCGCACAATATCTCTAGTGCTTACAAAAAGAGGAAATCTAAAAAAAGAACTTCGTGGCTCCGTTCGGTCTTCCGCCGGTTTCCGTCGCACCCAAATGCTGCTCGCTACCCTCCCGCGTAGCTCAAGATGGCAACGGGTACGTACCCGCTGGGTACTGGCCACCCGTACCCGCACCCGCCAGATCAAAATCTTACCCGTTGGGTTACCCGTACCCACAGGCGGGTAAAAAATTCATTCCATACCCGCACCCGACGGGTAATTTTTACCCGACGGGTAATTCTTACCCGACAATATACCCGAGTTCACACACCAAAATATAATAGCTTCCAGCAAAACAAATCAACAATAGAGCAGCAAAACAGAAATATGGGCTGGTGGAGTGGAATGAGGATGAGGATTATGGTTTGAGGGAGTTCTTGAATATATATACTCATATGCTTATATGGGCCAAATATGGGCTATATGCTTATATGGGCTAAAATTGCAGAGGTTGGATATTATTTATGCGGGTTTTTTTTACCCGCGGGTATGCGGGTATGGGTAGTATACACCCACACCCGTACCCGCATACCCGATGGGTACAAGAATTCGTCCAATAACGTACCCGCGGGTGAAAAATGTCTTCCATACCCGCCTCCTTATCGGGTAAAACCCGTCGGGTACTCGGGTTTCGGGTACCCGTTGCCATCTTGACGCGTAGCTCATACGATATTTTACTCATCAATAATAAAAAGAAGAGAGAATAATAAGTCATATATTTTTCTATGATTCATATGTCTATATTTATATATTTACTATACTAGCATATTAGGTTACTATGTTTATTTAAGTTCATATGAGCTAGCAAATTGACTCTATTATTAAGGGTGTCTTTAGGATGCTTCCAATGATCTAGTTTAGAGCTAGCTGAATCAATTTTTTAATCTTCAAATAGTGCAAAAGACAAGAGACTATATTCAAGAGATAGTCTCACACATTTCACGATGCATCCAGCCATCTCTTACAACATGATGTTTAGGAATGCTTGCCCACGACGCGCCATGCCACAAGTTATTTTTTGGCAGTTGTTTGGTTCGCTGCCACACATATGACGTGTTACACTTTCTTAACACCTTGTCCCAAGCGTCGTTGACTCATTTCTTTTTTACCAAAACTTTGCTATAAATGTGGCTTTAATTTTGCTCACTAAACTTTCTATGACAGCCATAGTTTGACAAAAGTTTAGTGTGACAAATTACAGCACCAACCAATAAGGTCCGTAGTGCGAGCTTGCATATCCTACCTCTTTCTCTATCTTCGTTGTTCTTCCAATCGTCCTCCTCCAGCTCGTGCATGTGGGAGGCCGTGCACGCCGTCAAGGAGAGGGGCGTGTGGTGGTCGCATGCTGCGCTCGGCTCGGGCTGGTAGCTAGACAGCACGCTAGTAGAGCACTAGAGCTTGACGAACACATGATGAGGTCGAGGCAGGACCGTAGTAGGAGCCCGGCCGGCCTTGCGACGTGGAGAAATTCGCGTGACTGGGGCCTTGGTGGGTGTTATCTGGAGCATGCTGGAGGAAGGGCTGCCACCGGACTCTAGCATATCACAAGTTCCTCAAGTTCATGGTCTAGTGGTCCACTACGACTACGACTCAACTCGGAACGGAAGAGAGATGCCATAGTGGCTTCTAGGCGGCAGAGAAGATGCGGCTGTAGGGTGACTCTGGGTGAGGAGCGAGCATGCGTCGGAGGAGATCGAGGACCCCATGCCTATAGCCTACCTGGTCGATCTGCGATACGACGGTAGGGACAGCGTCGTCCTAGACTACATGGCCTACGTGGCCGCCCTTGGCGCCAACGACGGCGGCCTCGTCTCCGTGGCTTGGCTTCCATCGTGATCGGCGTTCAGTGCCGTGAACGGACGCGCGGCGCCACCGATGCACAAAGGCCATGTTGGTGTCCGGCATGGCGCCATGTGGAGCCATGGCGGGGCTCGTGTCTGTCGCCTATAGCATGTCCCTCGCCCCTCGGTGAGCTGAGTTTGTCTCCGTGTACGCAGTACGGACCAGGGATATGTTACGATTCTAGTAGGGTTGATAGGGATGCCGGCCGTCTTGACAGCAGGAGGGTCTCGGGAAGAAGAGAAACAGGAATTTGGTTTTGCTTATTCGTCGACCGTCCAACCGCCCACACAGCGAGTTCTTATCTAAGAGTGCAAAGACGAAAATGGGCCAGGAATTACACCCCTGCGACATACAAGTCGGCTTACGGGCCCATTAGCTAGTGTAGCACAAACACTATGCACGGCATAAGGCCCATTCCGTGACAATCCCTCCTCCTTAAGTTGTAACGCGTCCTTGCGATGCAGTAGTCGATGTGGACAGCACCCTGGGTATGAGCTTGGATATGGTTGTAGATGGTTCCTAGGTCGCCCAATGCTCCGGGCATGATTCACGCTGCACAAGCACAGTAGGAATAACACGACGACCAACAAGATTTAGGCGTTCAGCCAATACCTGGGAGGGTGGCAGAGTATCCAGAGTTAGCAACAACTGCATTTCAACGTCCTTGGATAGAGAAGCATCAGGAGGCAAGGCCTTCTTCAATTGAGATACATGCAGCACAGGATGAATTTGACTGGTGGTTGGAAGTTGTAACTTATAAGCAACCTTGCCGACAGTTTGCAGAATAAGGTAAGGCCCAAAGTACTTATAATTGAGCTTCTGATTAGATCGACACTGGACTGACTGCTGAATGTGTGGTTGCAGTTTAACATATACCCAATCCCCAACATCAAAAGACCTTTCTTGACGGTGCTTATCAGCCTGATGTTGCATTCGTTGTTGTGCTCGAGCCAAGTTGTGCTGAATGTGTTGCATCATTGTATTACGTGCTTGCAACCAATCATCCAGATCAGCGACACAACAAGCATCAGAAGCAGTAATTCCAAAATGTTTTGGGGGGTGCCCGTACAATGCTTCAAAAGGAGTATGACCGTGAGCAGAGTGATATGTGGTGTTGTACCAAAATTCGGCTAGGGGAATCCACTGGGCCCATTTTTTAGGACATGAGTGTACCATACAGCGTAAATAGGTTTCCAGGCATTGATTCAAATGTTCGGTTTGACCGTCAGTTTGAGGGTGGTAGGCTGAACTCATATTGAGTGTGGTTTCAGTAAGTCTAAAAAGTTATTGCCAGAGGGCACAAGTGAATATTTTGTCCCTATCAGATATGATGATGGAAGGCATGCCATGCAGTTTGTATACATTGGCTAAGAAAGCTTGGGCTACGGATAAAGCAATATAGGGATGGGCCAAACAAATAAAGTGGGCATATTTGGTTAGCTTATCTATGACCATTAAGATAGTGCCAAAGCTTTTGGACTTAGGAAGACCCTCTATGAAATCTAGACTGATGGTATGCCAAGCATGTGTAGGAATAGGAAGTGACTGCAATAAACCTGGTAATCTACAGTGTTCAAGTTTAGTCTGGGCACATACCTCACAAGCATTAATATAATCTGTGATAAATTGCTTCATATTGGACCAAGCAAAGAGGGATTTAACCTTCTGATAAGTAGCAGTGATGCCACTGTGTCCACCGAGGCCACTGGAATGGAGAGCCAGTAAGACGGCCTGTTGCGCCTCCTTGTGGTTCCCCAACCAAATACGGTTTTCGTACTTGATAAGTCCATCACTGAGAGTGAAGCCTTTGTCATTTGAACCAGTAATACTGAGCTCAGTGAGCAACTGTTTGGTTTGGTCATCTTGTTGATAGCCTTCCAAAATGATTTCCAACAACTTAAGAGTGCTTGCAGTGAAAGCAGCTAGAGATGAAGGCTCAGCTTGCCTGGAAAGAGCATCTACAGCTTTGTTTTCCAAACCCTTCTTGTACAGAATTTTGTACTGTAAGCCCAACAGCTTGATGAAAGCTTTTTGTTGCATACCCTCATGTAGCTTTTGCTCCCCAAGATGAATGAGGCTCTTGTGGTCGGTTGCAATCGTGAATTCCTTGTGCTGGAGGTAGGGCGATTTGGGTTTCCCGCGGTGGGCAAAGCCGTCCGCCGCAGCCTAGAGGCCACGGTAAATCGTGGCTTAACCGCGGCGGGCGGCTTTGCCCGCCGTGGTTAACCGATTTACCACGGCGGGCGGTGTAACGTGCCCGCTGCGGTAAATATACTTTTACCACGGCGGGCACGTTACACCGACCACCGCGGTAAATTATTTTACCGCGGCGGACACCTTTTGTGGCCCGCCGTGGTTATGTTGATTAGCCGTGTCGGGCTTTATTATTTGCTCGTCTCGGTAAATTATTTCCTGAATTAAAAAAAATAGAGCAGGCATATAAATTCAAATAAAATACAGCAGGCATATAAATTCAAATTCAAATTCAAATCACATCCAGATTTCACAGATTAAACTTAAAAAGTATGCAGGCATTACACATGAGATAATATACATATATATACATTCACTTAGTCATTCTTGTCATCGTTAATTCATTACATTTACATATTAAAGTCGTTATACATGCGCTAAGGTGTAATCCTGCGGACGCATCATCGTGGGCCATTTCCTCAGCCTCTCGTACTCCGGTAACATCGCTAGCGGGCTGTTCTCATGGAAGAACGTGCCCCCTTCAAGCACGCATTTGTCTAAGACAAACTTACATATATCTGCCTTTGTCTGCTTGAAGCTGTGTTGGATGCTCTGCATGTCTCTCGACCAGTTCAATCCATTCTTGAGCACCCTCCAATTGCTGCTGTACTGCTTGCACACCCTCAGGAACTCACAGGCGTAGAAGCCACAGGTTTGTGATCCTACCGGTTGTTTGGCACACTGCATGATTGATACGCAAGCATTACCACACAGGCATTAGAACGCATATGAACGGAAAGCACAATTAAACCTTTCAAATACTTACCGGAAAGTTACGTCTGATTTTGATGCGGTTCTTATGCTTAGCCTTAAAATTCTCCGTTCTTCGATCATAGCATTCAGGATCCTTCACGTACTCCTTATAAGCGCTATACGAAATGTACTAGTATTAGATAGGGCATTAGAACGCATATGAGAAGACGATTCCACTTACTTACACTCGAGGCAATCTTCAAAGGCCTTGTACCCTTTTAAGTTTGGCACATCGCAGCGAATCAAATACGCAGCCCCGCCATCCCGAGGGTAGATGATAAATGCAACCCAGTGACCCTCGAGGCCTTGGGCGTGCCATTGAAACAAAATACTGGTTACGACGAGAAATAATAATTCTAGCTAGCTACCCACTTATCTCTACAGGCATGTCTTCGACTTACCCAAAGTGGTAGGCAGCTAGGATACACCCATGTCCCCTGATCTTCTTCATTGCTCCTAGTATGTACCTTGAAATGTTCAACTTCTCATTGTCCATCGGTTTCTTCCCGTATGCCTCTCTCAACAGCTTGGTCGGTCTTTCATGGTTGGATGATTGTCATCTAGGTGGTAACCAATGATGATTCTTTGAGCAATATGCATTGGAGATAGATAGATAACATCAAGTTTTAGTTCCTTGGATATATAGGCCATCAACTCGCAAGGACAAGCCATCGTGACATATATAAGTAGTCTTGACCGATTCAAAGGCAGGTGATATGTGAAACTCGCAATTCATCACTTACATAGAGAACAAGGTGACTTGGGCGATGTCAAGGTCTTGTTCCCATGAGAAGTCTCGTACATGTCGTGGAAGTCCACGGGAGTTCTACATCGTTGCCGTGCAAGTGGAAGTACTCGCCACAACCTTGACTAGAAAACCATGCAGCCACTTTTGCCGCTTCCATGTACCAGATGAAAACCTCCTTGTCTCCGACCTTTCCTCATCGATGAGTTGGGCCTTGGTTATCATGAACTTCCCATGCTCGTAATGGCCGGGGCAGTCATCTGATTTAGGAAATAGATGGAAAGGTGATCTCGGCCTGGGATAGAAATGTTAGTACCATATTATGGCAAAGAAAAGTTATTAGCAAATTATGCTCGCGCCGCTACCATACCTTTTGAACTCAAGTGAGTATGTGAGCTGCCCTTGGTCGCCTTTTAGTCTTCGGCCGACGGTGGAGGATAAATGGCTTGTGCTCGCAAATGGCAAGCAGCGGTGTCTTTGCCCCCGGTTCCTCCGTGCCTCCCGGTCCTTTGCTCGTGCCCTTAGATGGACTGCCGGGAGGTGGAGGTGGACTTGTTGTTGGAGGAGGAGAACGAGGGTGAGGGCTTGTGCCTCCCGGTCCTTTGCTCGTGCCCTTAGATGGACTACCGGGAGGTGGAGGTGGACTTCTTGGAGGAGGAGAACGAGGGTGAGGGCTTGTGCCTCCCGGTGCTTTGCTCGTGCCCTTAGACGGACTGTCGGGAGGTGGAGGTGGACTTGTTGTTGGAGGAGGAGAACGAGGGTGAGGGCTTGTGCCTCGGGGTGAGTTCCTTCCCTTGTCATCCCCGCCATTGCCTTCGTCATCGCCGTCGCCGTTATCCGAATCATCGGGGGACAAGATCTGGCAACGGATGGTTGTGATGCTGGTGTCGCCGTCAGCGTAGAAGTCGGCGTCGAGAGAATGATCTCTATGTCATCCTTGTTCCACAGGACTTCGGAACCCCCAAGGCAGCTCCAAGGATCGTTACCCCTTCTGCATTTGGATATTCCATTTCAAATTCTTCGTATTCGGTCGCATACCATGTAAGTATCACGGCAGCATAGTCAGCAGGGATCTGGTCTTGGTTGAAATCTTTGATATCTTCTTTGGGGTGCATGTAACCCTCACCCACGGTCAACTTTTTCGCCCTACCGAACGGGATCATGAGCTGGACGCGCATGGGTTCCCGGATGGCGTCGATGGGGTGCCTTGGGCGATCCTCGATCATTGACAGTGTCTGCCCTTGTGTCTGCCCTTGTGGAACTTGAGGCATGGCCACACCAGCCTGGCGAAGCATCTGTGACCTCATCGACACCATATCTGGGTCATTGCTCGTGAAGGCTTCTTTTATGGACCGGCTGATCATTTCGGCCACGCCTTGATCATAGCCCTTCTGAAAGATGCCCTCCTTGTACCTCTGCCTTGACCGGTATGTGGCAGCGTCAGATTGCCATGACTCCACTGAGTTCTAGCTCATCTTCGATGACATGCCACGGATGCGGCCACGGTGCTCGGGGGTTCCCAGCGCCAGGGTCAGCAAGTCCTGGCCCCTGCGAACCTCGAAGCTGTTCTTGGATTTAGCGGCCTTGATGACATCCCTCTCCACCTCCTCGAACTTGGGCTCATTGAACTTGCTTGCGCCCTCCTTGAGCTTCTTCGTCTTGCGGGCATAGATGAAGTCCTTAGCCCTCAAGTCTACACCGTCGTACGGATCAGGAAGCCCGGCGACAGCTCCAGCCCTTTCTTCCTCCCGCCACTAGGGCCTCTTACCAGCAAACCCAGTCATGCCCAAGTGGTGGGGGTGCAGGTTCTTCTTCGCGAGTGCGCTGAACTTGGCGCTTTTGCCTTTTGCTTCTTCTCGTTGTTCTTTGTTTGCAGAACTCTTCCCAGTGATGTTCCTTCACCATAGTGTATTTGACACAGGGTGACTTGCCTAGCTTTAGGTAGTACCTAGTCATCATGGACTTGAAGTTTCTAAAGGCTCTTCTTGCCACGTGCATGACCCACTCCCTACACTTGTTCAGATCGGCGTCCTCGGGATAATGGAAGCTCCTCGTCACCTCACCCCATATATGTGTCTTGTAGTCGACCGGGACATTGTTCCAGTCCTCCCAAGTGATCTCCACCTTGTCCTTGACTATACATGCCACCTGGTTGCTGAACTTGGCAAGGACCGTGGGTGGCGACAACGGGTTTCCCTCTGGTCCCACCTCATGGATCACATGGACTTCGCCGTGGATTTCCCTCCGGTGCCTCCCGTGTTCCCCCCTTCTCAGCTTTGTCCTATGACCCCTAGACTTGCCTGAAGTGGTTGGAGATGGAGCGGGGGGTTCTTTGTCCCTGACTTGTTCCTCCTCGAAATTCAATTCTCGAGGCACCACCGACATCTGTTCAGGGTTTGGAGACCGCGCACTTTCAACTTCGTCGTCCCTCGGTTGGTAGGTCGGATCATCTTCGTCCTCTGTACGACGTTTCTTTGTTGGCCTCGGGGTCACGGACACGTGGCTCTCGAGGCTAGTTGATGATGATGCACTAGGGGTAGGGTCACGCCATTCGCTTATCGGTTCCTCCGCCATTGGAAAGCTACAATGAATACATATTTCAGTTGTATAGACATAGTTATAGAGTAGTAAAGTAGAGTAGTACTAGAGTAGTAAAGTAGAGTAGTACTAGAGTAGTAAAGTAGTAGTAGTTAGCTCAGATTTGCCCCATTGTCATCACATCGCTTTTAAACTGGTTGCTTGTATCTGGTATACAAGCCATCCTAGTTTAGTGGGGGCACTCGATCATCATTGCCGCTGCCTCATCATAAAAGGGTTCACATCATTGCATATGCCACTGCCTCAGCTTAGAAGTGTGAAAAGAATCATCATTGCAAATACCAAACAAAAGCCATCAAGATAGTTTCAAAATTCGGCCCCAAAGGGCTAAGTCCTTCGGCCATCAAGATAGAGTCACTGCCTCAGCTCTTGTTTTAAAAGTTCATCATTGCATATATATGCCACATAGATGGAGTCAAAATCAAGTGACTTAGTCAAAATCAAGTGTAGTCAAAATCAAATAGTAGAGTGTAGTAGCAGATAGAGTATAGTAGTAGCAGTAGGGTGTAGTAGTAGAGTATAGTAGCAGCTAGTAGTAGCAGCCAGCAGTATAGAAAATAGTAGTAGTAGCAGATAGTAGTATAGTATAGTAGTAGTAGTAGTAGTAGTAGTAGTAGTAGTAGTAGTAGTAGTCATATATAGGTACAGAAAGTAGAGATAGTGGTAGTGTAGTTGTACTAGTTGTAGTAGT